CCCCCCCCCGGGCTGCTCTTCGCCCTCTTCTACGGCCTCCTCATGGCGCTGCTCGTCGCTGCCCACCGCGCGCTCTTCGGCTGCTGAGGGACCCCCAGGGACCCCCAAACCCCAGGGGAACCCCCCCTCAAATCCCAGGGGAACCCCCCAAACCCCGGGGGAACCCCCCCTCAAATCCCAGGGGAACCCCCCAAACCCCGGGGAACCCCCCCTCAAATCCCAGGGGAACCCCCTTTCCACGCTTCCCCCCCCCAACCCTTTCTTGTGCCTTAACGCTGGGGAAACTGAGGCAGGGAGGGGGTGGCAGGGGGTGAACCCCCCCCTTTCACCCCCTCCAGGGTGAGACCTTAATTATTATTATAATTAATTATAATGAGTTATTATTACAAGCTATTATGATGATGATGAGCTGCTATTATAATGAGTTATAATAATATTATTATAATGATTTATTATTATAATGATTTATTATTATAATGATTTATTGTCATGACTTATTATTACGAATTGTTATTATTATAATGATTTATTATTTTAATGAGTTGTTATTACAATGAGTTGTTATAATTATGGTGAGTTGTTATAAACGACCATGAGCATAATGAGTTATTTTAATGGTTATAATTAAGTGTAAATTAATTGTTCTGAGAGGACGTAAAAAAAAAAGAATACGCACGACGACCCAAATTTATTATAATTAATTATTATTAAAATTATTCTATTTAACTACGATTATTATCTGATTATTATAATTAATTATAATAATCATTGATCTAAGTATTGTCACACCCCCCCAAAATTATACTTGGTACATCCCTGTCTCTGTGTGACTTTTGGGGGGTTTGAGGTGTGGTAAAACCTGGGGGGGGTCACTAGTTTTGGGGAGGGGTCAGTCCCGCCCCCCCCCGCTGCTCATCTGCTCAGCTTTTTGTGTTTTTGTCCGGTTTTGTCCGTTTTTTGTCCCTTTTTGCTTTTTCTGTGCCCAAACGGGGCCTCTCCCCCCCAACGCTGTGCTGCACCCCCCCTCCCCTAATTAACCCCCGCTAATTAATTACGCCCTTGCCCCAGCAGGTGCTGGAGGAGCCGAACCCGGGGGGATTTTTGGGGGTCTCCCCCACCCCGGGACCCCCCCTAATTCCAGGCCCCCCCAACCCTCAGCGAGGCCCCGCCCCCAGCGCAGACGCGGCGCTCCCATTGGCTGGGGAGGTGAAGCCGCGCGGGCGCCGCCATCTTTGTTGAGGGCGGGCCGCCATTGCCCCCGTGAGGGGCCCGGGGCGCCGCCATCTTGGCTGAGGGCAGCGCGGGCGCCATCTTTAGTGAGGGCAAAGCCCCTCCCTCCCACCCCCAACCCGGGGTCGCCCCGAATTTGGGATTTTGGGGGGGACGAGGCACCTTAGCGGGGGTCCGGCCCGAGGGAGGTGCCGACACCGCAGCTGTTTCTATCCAATATATATTAAGATCTCTCGCCATAAATCTCTCAAAATTAAAAATAAAACCTGGTCCTGGCGGAGGCGGAGGCAGGGGTGGGGAGGGGAGCCCCCCACGATTTCGGGGGAGGCCCGGGCCGAGCTCCCCCGCCCCGGGGCGGCCGCTATAGGAAGGGGTTGGTGGTCGGGTGCCTGATGCCCAACGGGGCCGTCGGGGCCGTCTGGGGGGGGCAATAAAAAAAGGGGGGTGTCAGGGGTCAGAGAAGGGGGTCAGGACCCCCCCCTCCAGCCCCCTCCTTACCACGAAGGGGTTGGTGGAGGCTTTGGGAACGTTGAACCCACCAAAAGGCGACGCTGGGGGGGGCAAAACGAGGGGTCAGCGTTGGGGTAAGAAAATATCCCGATATTGAACACCCCCAGTATTTAACAACCCCCCCCCAGCTCTCACCATCAGCCTGGAAGGGGCTGGGAAACCCCCCGGGCACCGACGGGGTGGTGAAAGCGGCACCTGAAGGAGGGGACACAGAAATGGGGCCCCCCCCAGACCCCACCCCGGCCCAGGGTGGGCGTGGGGGGCGCAGGGAGAGGGGGGGTCACTCACCGGGGCCGTTGCTCTGGAAGGGGTTGGTGGAGGGTCGGGGGGTCACGAAGGGGTTGGTGTAGCCTGGGGGGGGGCACAGGGGTCACCCCGGGGCCCCCCCCCCTCACTTTGGGGGGTCCCAAGGGGGGGGTGAACCCCGAC